CCAAACATTTTTGTCATTGCGTTTTCAACCACTCAAGTATAATTAGTAGCAAAAAGTTCGGACAGACAGAATTAATTAAAATGAGCAATCAGTGCTTTTCGACGCTTTTTTGCATGCAAAATCTGAAGCCGAACAACCTAGAATTTTTTTTGACGCCAAATTCAAAATGCGAGATCGTACATTATCCGATGGTTATGCTAGCCTAATTTTTAAATACCGACATCCAGATTTTACTATAAAACATTTCGACGCTTCGGATGCAATTGCCCGCCGTGGTTATAGTTTTTGAGCGAAACCCGGATACTTAACAATCTCCTCCGCCCTATTGTATTTACTGAATAATATCCACCCGTGTAAATATTAGCATAAATACCGCACTAGAGCATTGTATGTAAATTCGAGTTTTGCTGCATTCTGATTGGTCGAAAGTTCGCTGCAAGTAATCTAATTAAAAATCTCCTCCACTTACTTGAAAGTGGGAATTGTTAAGTAGATCCCGAAATTCTGCTCTATGAACTTTCGATGTTATGTTTATTTCAGTTTTAATTTTCGTTGGTGTCTAGACAGTTGCTCTTTTTAATTAATTATGTCTGTCCAAACTTTTTGCAACTCTCTATACAGCAAATGTTTTTTCGTTGCACCAAAAAATGACGACCTCGCTTGAATTTATTTTCAAAATCAGTTTGACATTAGCATTCAGGACCCAGAAAACTTTTTTTAACCTGATTTGAAAAGAGGTAAAAAATAAAATTTGGGTCCTGAATTAAGTCTTTGCCTTTAGAATGGCTCCATGATAAATGCAGATTTTGGAGAAAAAAATGGATTTCAAACTATCAGAAAGTGATAGAATGACTGCCAGTGCATTACTAAGAAACAAGGGTCAATACGTCACTCGAAACGCTTAGAACCCAATTGAACGAAGATAAAAACATAGCAGTGAAACTAAACTAATTGCCTCGAGTGACAAAAATATGAACCTTGCTCAAGTTATCAACTAACTGCCATATGAATAGATTGAAAAAAGAAAATTCAATCAAAAATTTTTCTACAATTTTGTAATTGAACAACGTAGCGTGGTGTCAATTGATATTGTCTGCTTTACAGGAAAACACTGGCCGCTCTCGATGGCAGCCAAAGCAGCTGGACGTGATCAAGTTGTCTGGCCAAAATCTTCAATCGGAGAATACCCAGAACGTCTGTTGTATTCATGCGACAAGCAACCCAAGAACGTGAAAACGTTGGGAAAGAAATGCTTCCGCCCATCAACTGTAATGCTTGGATTTTGTTGCATACTTTTACATAGTACAATTTGTGGAAGCAGCAACGTCAGCTATCAGAGGATCAAGGTTTATCGTGTCCAAAGTTGTTTTTTGTGTAGACTGGCTTCCCAATTACAACAGGGGGAATAATGGAGTTTTGCATATAGACAATCGGTCGGCAAAAATCTGAGAAACATTCCGAGCCAAAAGATTGAAATGTAAGCCGACTCACGACAATCACACTGGTTTTGCTTCTCGAAGATATCAATTAACAACTCTGCTGTTGATAGACTTGATCTTAAGTGCAAAAGGGTCATCATGGCTGTCAAGTTCATTAGACTGCCTGCATGAATTATTCTCAAGCCCAGTGGAGATAACAGAAGACGAAAGTATCATAAAATATATACCTACACTCAGTATAAAGGGAAAATAATCGATTATACTATAATTATAATCGTACTTTTATCAAAACTATAATTAAATATAAGCGCCAATTTTCGATGTTTAACCAGCTTATAATTCATTATAATGATAACATTTTCAGTGACATTTTAATAAAGTGTAATCAATTTGTTTAATAAAGTGTAATCAATTGATTATAATCTCTTATAATCTATTAAAATAGATTATAATCTCTTGTTCTATCAAAATAACATCTCACAAAAAAAAATTCATTATAATGGATTATAATTTAACTAATTTGCATGAAAGCTCAGTAAAAATCAAATTTAATTTAAGTTTGAGCTATAAGCAGGACCGGATCTAGGATTTTCTCGAGGGAGAACTTTCAAAAAAATTTCGAAAATTTTGTCGATCTTTTTTTTAGGTCGAACAAATTGATTTGCCGAGCTCTCCCAGAGCACTTAAAAGACCCTGTTTTGGCCAAATGATGTGCACCGCGGGCAAAAATTTGAAAAACATGCCGAAAAACGGCTTTTTTAGGCATTTTTTTTTTGGAAAATTGTCACAAAAAATCGCGTTTTTTCGGCGCGCGCTCCGCCTTCACAATGAGTATATATTGGCGACAAAGGCGCTTTTAGAAAATTTTTTATATAGGGTTCGTCACCAAAAATGGATATCTCCGGGTTGGCAGGGGGTGACGTTTGTTGAATAATAATGGGTTATAATCCATTATAATGGTTTATAATTCAATAAAACATAAGAAAAAAAGTTTACAAAAAATAATTGATTATGATCGATTATAATGATTTTTATTGTTTCGAAAAGTAGTAACATTATAATTCATTTATAATCGATTATAATCAATTATTTTTGAAGTTTATGGAGACTCACAACATAAATCCCTTATAATTTATTACTTTCCCTTTTAACTGAGTGCGGGTCAAAGGAACTAATACGATGGTCGTCAAAGTTGTAAAAACTTTTTTGAAAACTCCAGAAAATTTTCGGAGTCTTAGGCTACGCCAGGTGATATCTAAATAACTATGCTATCAAAGCTAAAATATCAATCTGCAATTCAAACTGTAGCAGACGCATCAATTTTTTTAGTTTATTGGTATTAAAACAGGGGTACCCACACTCAGTAAAAAGTGAAAAAAATCGACTATATTACAATTATAATTGTAATTTATCAAAATTATAATTAATGATAAGCGCCAGATTTAGATGTTTAAACGAGTTATAATCCATTATAATGATTGCATTTTTCGTGACATTATAATAAATTATAATCAATTTGATTGATATAACTTTTCCAAAAATCTTTCATAATCTCTTTTAACCTTTTTAAATCTCCTATAGTCTCCTATAATCTACTGTAATCTATTATATTAGATTATAGTCCTTTTTGGTCAAAAATCTCTAAAAGTGAGATGTTTTGTCTTTCTTTGGTTCATCTGAACACAAAGTTTTACCACGAAACAAAATTTTCATAGAGATCCTTTCATATTAGTTGAAAGAATCCCGCGGTAGGTGAAATATAATATTTCTGTAAGAGTTATGGATCTAAAGCTATGTGCTGATATTTTGGTGGTGAAAAACACTTAAGATGTGCATCATGAAACAATTATAATCAAAAAGAAATGAAAAAATAAAAACGCCATATATTTGAATAGATTTGAAAACCATCAAAACATTTTTCACATAAACCAACGTCTACAAAAAGCACAAAATATAAGCAATTCAGATGCAAGGTCGAAGAGAAAGTGGGCAAACAAAAAGGATTATAAATAATAATAATTGATTATGATGGATTTTGTCTGCAAAATAAATGAAATAGAAAAATCGGATAAAAATAATCGATTATAATCGATTATAATTTATTATAATTGATTATACTTGATTTCAAAAAGAGAGACTATAATCAAATATTACTTGATTAAAATCAATTTTTTCTCAATTTTTGTAAGACTGGTACAAAAATCATTTTATAAGCAATTATTAACGCTTGAAATTGGATGCGGGTAGGTATGCGGACAGAAAATGAGTAATGGTACTCGTGTAGGTTTTGAAAAGTCTGTACTTTGTCCCCTATTTTTTACTTAGCGGGTTATCGATGATTGAACTTCAAGCTAAAATTCATCAATTAATCAGTTGAACTCTTTCAAGCTCAACTCATTCGAAGAAGAAATTAATACTTCAGAAAAAAAACTGTTCCCGCCAACAATATGCAGAATGAGACGATAGTATTTTGGAGCATCTCCTTTGGTTTCACGAGCACTATAGTATTTTGACAATTTGGAAAAAAAATGTTTTTTTTTCATCAATCTTGTATATTTCGTAATTTTTTTTGAAAAAATTGTGAACTCAACTTCAGGTTATTTCATTTGGCATGAGAAAAAACAACTTAAGTTTTTTTAACCTTCAAAATCCGTTAGAACAGGGGCGGATTTAGGGGGGGCGGGGCGGACGCCCCCCTCCCTTAGGGATTCGACCCCCTGCCGACCCAAAGGGTCCCCCCTTTGATACTTTTTCAAAAACCCCTTTTTGGCCGACCGACCCTAAAATTTTTCTAAAGGCGCCTTTGGCGCCAATATATACTAACTTTGAGGGGGAGCGCGCGCCAAAAAAACGCTATTTTTTTGTCAAAATTTTTCAAAAAGTGCCCAAAAACGGCTTTTTTTGACTGTTTTTTCAAAAATTTGCCTGCGGCGCAGAAAACTTTGCCAAAATAGGGGCAAAACAGTGCTTTGGGAGAGCTCGAAAAATCAATTTGGTCGACCTAAAAAAAAAAGGTCGTCAAAATTTTGGAAAATTTTTTGAAAATTCGCCAACCCCCCCCCCCCCCCCCCCCCCGCCTCGAGAATCCTAGATCCGCCCCTGCGTTAGAATATGATCAACGTCAAAAATTCTGATTTTCACAAAGGATCAGATTTTTGATGGATAACAGACTTGATTTGAGAAAATGATGACAACACTGAGTTTAGACCTGCAGTGACATACTTTTGATTTTTGGGACGATTTAATTATTCTAATCAGCATGTTATCTTTGCTCGTTTTTTGCCGACTTTCATGCTCAAGGTGCTGAAATTTTCAAGAAGCACTTTCATGGTGCTGAAACTGAGGTTTTGTTTTTCGAAAGGCAATGTAATATTTTTGAATGAAAAAAAAACATGTAAGCATACTGTTGGAAATGAAAATAAGAACAGAATCGCAACTTCATTGCTAAAATCTAATCAAAATTTTGGATTTTTAACTCAAACTTGTGCCCTAATTTAACATAAAATTAATTAAAATAATATAAAAACATAGAATTATAAAGCAATAATAAATTAAACTCACCGATGTTTTGTAGTGTTTGATGCCCCGCACCATCAGAGTTCTTTTTCGCACCTCTGGAATCGAACCGTGGTCAGCCGGATTCGTCATCTCGAAAGTATCCTCCGCTCCTCGTTTGAGAGTCAAGTGACTACTTGTGCCCTCATTATAAAAAGGTTCTATTTTATCTGATCTGTCAATCAAATATCCGTTCACGTTTGCGAACTGAAGAAAACCGAGTGTAAAAGCAACGAGTGAAGATATGCGAAAGAAGCTCGTTCTCATTTTTCAGTTTGTTTCGATAATATATTCGAACTTATCACTAAAAAAAATAAACAACTTGAAATGAGATAGTTGAAGCAGCAAAATTTATTATAACAATAGCTTTCAAGGGTGGAAGTTTTAATCTTTATACAGTTATTATTAAATTGATAGTTCAAGACTCTTTTGACCACGATTTCGTTAACTTGTTTTCGGAAATTCAATTTAGAACGGAATTTGATTAAGGATAAGAAATATATGTAAAATAAATGTTTTCTCAGTTTCTGAAATGATTGAAAGGTCACACTCTAAGAAGTACGAGTGAACTTTTTCAATTACTTTTATGATGTTTCCCTCTTTTTTTTTATTTCCCCGTGTTTTTTTTCTACCTAACTAAATAAAATTGGTGAATATTGGCTGATAGAGCTAATGACTGAATTCTAATGTTCAAACAACTAAAAAAAACAGTATTTTCGCCTCATCAGCTGAGATTTTTGCTTGTTTGTGCTATGAAAATTCACATATAAATAATTAAATTAAAAAATCTGGCCAGAATTGTCAGCGCGATAGGAATGTTTAATTTATGATTCTTGTTAAGGTTCAGATAAAAAAATTATTCAGGTGTCAAAATAGATTAATATTCAAGACATACTTTGCGGAGAGGACTGAGATGAAGTTAGTCCAGAATATCTAAAATTCTGAGAAAAATTCAGTTTGGATATATGCGCGAGGGTTAATTTAATTGAACGGTTTAAAAACATTTTGTGTGACATTTCAGAAATTTTGAATAATGAATCTGAATTTTTCTAACATTTCTTCTGAGAAGTTGTTTAAGTGATTAAGTGAATCCTATACCAGAAAATTTGGGAGGAAAAACTGCCAGCATAAGAAAAAAAAAGAAAAATAAACTCCGATTACAGCTGAAAATCTGATAGGCTGAAAAAGATTTGAATTTTCCCTAATTTTTTTTATCGACAAAATAAGGCTTTAAAGGATAAAAAACAGATTTATTCAACCTGCTTATAGGAGAAAAAAGGCAGACAAAAAATCTATTCATATTTATTTCAACTCGACTTTTTCGGTCAAAAGCGAAGTATTATTTCTAGCTATGTTGACGGTTGTTAAATCAAATTATGGAGAGCTAGATAAATCGTACTCTTGATTGATTAGCACGAGAAATAATCTTCAAATGAAGTAATTGAAAATCGATCAAGAAAGGTGATAAAAAAGAAGGCAGAATTATCATTTTTCAACAACCTAAAAAGCTATTGAACAGTGGAAGAAAGTTAAATCTTATCTATTATGCGCTCGTTAAAAGTACTTGCTAAAGAACTGAAGACGATTCAGAAAAAAAAAGAGAAAAATTAGAAGAAGAAAAATCACCGATAAGAACAAAAATAAAGTTACACTAACACGTCGTTATTGTTACTGGAGCCTATATTTTGATGCAAATGACTATTTTTGTTCCGAACAACCCTTGAAAATGTCGGGCGGTAATCAGGGCGTACTGTTTCCCAGTCAGTTTTTCTTACTTAAAGAAAATTCGCAGAGGGTCAAGTGTGGTATCACGTTGAAGCATTTCACTCGTGATTCAGATCCTACAAAAATTTCGGCACGAGAGGAAAACTGCGCGTGAATCAGTGTTCCTCGCTTAATCTACTGTTACGAATTTTAGCCTGTCATGAATTCTCACCTCACAGAATTCGTTGAAAGCCTGAAACCCCAATTTATTGCCTGATCAACGATTTAAACTAAATTTAGCTATAAATGACTTTCATTCTTGAAGTTTTTGACTTATGTCATTCCACCTTTGGCTTAAAAAACACATGATTCTGCAGACAAAAAGACTGAAAAAATTGAAAAAATTTTGCTAATTTTGCAGAAAAGATTCAATAGTTTTGGGGTTAACTCATTATTGTGATTGTACAATTCTGTGCTTTTGGTTCCGCAATTGCTTTCCTTGTTTCGCTTTGATAACTAACATGAATAGACAATATTTAATTTGTTGTGTTTTTGCCAAATTGTTTTTTTTCTAGTAGTGTTTTTTCAAAGTAGAACACATACATTTTATGAAGAGTTTTAAATTTATGTTTTCATCTTTTTATGACAGTAGAAACACTGCCAAAATGAAACAATGCAGTATTAGGAGTAACAAGACCACGGAAAACTGGAGTCGTTTTTGGTGGAAAAATTTTACTTTTACAGCTCGTCTGATCTAAATTTAAAAAATTTCATCACTTGCAACGACCTGTTTCAGAAACTTTTGAACGGTTGATCTATAAAAAATACGCTCGACATGTTTTTTACATAGTCATTGATTTTTGAGCTCAATGAGCTCAAAAAATAAGTTACATTCAACTCGGTTCCAGTTTTCATCAAAAATTGCCCGTACTAACGACCCAGAGCAAACCAATTTTGCTACAGTGATTTCACGGCAAAGCTTAGGATTGTTGAGACATAATCTTCATCACAATTAGACAAATCTGAGCCACCTAGGTTCCGAGATTAAGATAATTTCAATTTCTCAAAACTGGTCACAGACGAAAAAGAATTTATCATCGCTGATTCAGTGTAAAACCGGAGAAGTTAATTCCGAAAATCGTTTTTTTTTTCAGTTAAAACCTTTGTTTTTTTTCTATAGGTTTTTCTGCGATCTTTGAACATTCCGCACAATAATGTACTGACCTAGAGGTGGTAGGGTAGAAAAGATCAAACTAAGCATTCGTTGTGGCAGATTGTACCCGGGTTGACCTCCATAAACCAAAAATACTTATCTTACGATTCCATACACCGAAAATGCTTATAATACATTTCCATACAACAAATGTATGAAAAAATGCTAATCACACAATTTTCATACAATTTCAAAAAATCATTGAAAAAAAGATTCGAAATAGTTTCTGCGGCTATTTGAACCAAATAAAACAGTCTGGTGTTGAAAAAAAACTATGTTTCTTTTTTGGAAAAGAAGGTAATCATGCAATTTCCATATATGAAAATTGTATGCCTAGCATTTTTTTGATGGCGAATACAAAAAATATTGAAACTGCCCCAACCGCAAATCGAATTATAATCAAATCGTTTTTTTTTCAACCGCAAATCGAATTTTGTACTCAAGCAAACATTTTCCAAACCATGGTTTTAGTCACTTGTCTTCGGTCACGAACACATTCCAAAAACTTCGAGAAATTAAGTTTAAAAAAATCAGTTTTTTGGTTCATGAAAAAATGCTTATCCTACAGTTTCCTTAAAGGAAAAAATGCTTATCTTAGAGTTTTCTTAACATTTTCTGTATCCATGGAATTGTACGAAATTGTATGGCAAGCATTTTTTCATTTATAAAAATTGTATTACAACTATTTCTGGTCAACCCGGGTAGATTTGAACCTGGTATCTCCGATGTTGTCTTCAATCAGCATTGTTTCATCAATGACTCACAACAGCTTCAGTTCTCCGGTGTCTATCTCTGACATTATCTTGCTAAGAGTCAAAGTAGTGTTTACGCCGTAATGTTACAGAACTGAAACAAAGGGCAGCGAGACACTTGAATTTAGCACGGCTTTGCGCAGCGATACCAGGCTGCGTGGAGCCTGAAAACTGCCAGTCTCTTCAACTAAGCATAAATCAAGCGCCCGAAATGTCCCGTTTTTTGCATACCGAACATCGAAGGCAACAGGCTACAGCTGCTGTTCATGATCTATTCCAAGTCATTTTTGAAGAATGGTTTTGATCCAAATACTTTGGTATTCCACACGGAAAACATCAACTTTTGCTCTCATTTTTGTCAAGAGGAATAATTCATAAAAATCTGGAAGCATCAAAATGCTCTCTTGGTTGAGAGAAAACAAATTTTGACTAAAGAACTGCTCGCATCGAGCCAAATCTTTGTATGTTTGCGAGTAGTTGAGATAGCACCAAATTTGACTAGTTCACTGCTCGCGTTAGGCCAAAACCTTGATTTTCCATGTTTAAACTACTTTAGAAGGGTTAAATGACAATCAGAACGTTCACTTTTTGCCTTAATACGAGCAGTAATTTAGTCAATGCTCGTATTCTCTCAATCTGAAAATTATACTTCAATCATCAAGCGAGGTGGAATGATTTTAATGTTTCGACGTTTGATGACAGTTTTCAACAGTTTTTTCAACTTTTGATGATTCTGTCCAACAAAAAAAAATAGAAAAAACCAAATTTCGATTGCATTAGCTAAAATTTCGGTTTCGGGTTTTTGGCCACGCAAAATCCTGTGCATCAACATTTTTTGAATCGAATTCAAGCCATCAAACAAAAAAAACGTCATAAGCTTTAAAACCCCGTTGTTTGTTTTGATCATTGAATCGTTTCCAAGAATAAACCTAAATTGTGGTTGTTTAAACGCTAATTTGTTTGCAAGCTATTTTTTTAGCTTTTGTGTCCAGTAACGAAATTCAATTTTTACTTGCTATTTTCATTAAATTACAAATTCATGGCTTGAATAAACTGCTGAAAAATTGTTAGGGATGTGCAAGCCAGTTTCAACTACAAAGTTGGCCTGAAAAGCTACAATTTTTTGCAGGAAACTTTTGTTTAAACGTTTGTCCCAGAGGTTTGAATTTTTCAAATTCTGCAGATTTTTTTCGCAGACCCGTTCCAGCTGCAGACGCGTTCCAGCTGCTTTTTCCCAATAAGTTGCTGTTTGAATAAATTGTCTTTTTGTTTTGCAATCTAATGAGAAATATTAAGATATTTATTTTTTCAAAAATTCTTAATTCAAAAACGTCGTTTGTTTTTTTCTCGTCAACTGAGAATAACTATCGAAAAAAACAATCCTAAAGTTTTGCTTGAATCAGCCTAAACTTCCTGATTAAAATCTTAGAAAAGTCATTAAAACTCTTTTTTGCTTAAAAACCTCCAACTTTCCACTAATTAGGCTTCATTGTAATGGTCAACATTGAGTTACATGTGTTATTTCTGTTTTTGCCGTTACCCCTTTCACGTGTTGTTCACTTTTTTTTCCTTTTCTACCATTTTTTCATGTTTTGTTCATTCCTGCGTGTACAAGCCTAAAGTTTGGTAAGTTTCCTTTGTGTGTTTTCATTCTCTGTAACTTCCAGTGCCGTTTTTGTAAAATGTGTAATTTAATGTTGACCGTTTAACCTCTGAGCTATACTTAATGGTGACCTTTACCATACTAATTTAAAACACCTGCCAAAAGCGCAACGGCTTTTGGTAGATTTGGAATTTGTTCACTATCATGTTTTGATATGCAACAAATCATCTGAAACTAATTCAACCTTTTTAACATCTTTTACTTTAGATAGATACCACAGTCTTTTATTTAGTCTTAGATAAAAGCCTACAACTAACTTGTAGGAATCTTAATCAAACACATTCTTAAGCTAGTCTTAGTTTAAGTTATCCAATCTTAATCAACAACGGTTTTATCCTAATTTTTTAACATGGCGCAGTCAAACGATTCGAACCTACGAGGACTAGAGTTTTTTTGGAACAACTCATCGAATGAAAATCAACACGACTGGGAAAGGTGGTCGGAAAAGTTTCAACTAATAATTATCGCGAAAGATTCCGTACACATCGAAGACGTAATCAACCCACCGGTAAGAATCGAAAAAAGACCTACTACATGAACTGAAGATACGAGATAGATTTTTAAAGTTAGAACCTGTGGATGAAATAACAAAGAAAGCGTACCAGGGCTTCGGGAGTACAATACACATTTTTGGAAGAGTTCGAGTGAGAACCCGATCGAAGAGCTGGAAGGCTTGCGACCAAAAACTCTTCATTACCGAAGGAGCAGAAAAAAACCTACACGGAAACAATACTTTACCGAATCTGGGAATAGTAGTATTCCAGAAACAACCTCCACGCAACGGGTCAAAGTCACAGAAATTTCAGAAAGGATCACCCATCGGGAGAGACGTCAATCAAAGA